AAATACATCTATCAAACATTTAAATTTACAGGATAGGGATAAGGATGCCTGGCAATTTTCAATCTTTTGTCTTTCTATCATTTTTGTGGTCAATCCAAGATAGTATTACTTTCAAATCAAAATATTTTAATTTAAGCCTGGTCATACTTACATGTTTACAGATTCAATTCACCATTGAGTATAAAATGAATATGAGTTGAGTGTGAAATGAATATGATGTTGAGTGTGAAATGAATACAAGTTGAGTGAAATGAACATATGGTTGAGTTGATAAAGAAAAAAATATTTATAGTTTTGAAGATTTTTAAAGATACTTTTATAAAAATCTTCAAAACCATAAAGACTTTTTTAATCTATACTTAACTTTATGGTGAATTGTATCTGCAGGCATGTAGGTATGACCAGGCTTGAAATAAAATTTGTTTGATTTGTTAACATCGAAAAATATAACTGTTTAAGACTGCAATTTTTATGTTTGGCCAGAAAGTTTTTTGATCTTAAAACTAAGAAAAAGAAAAAATAAATGAATCACTAAATCACTCAACAAAATATTGGCTTTTCAAGAAAAAAGAAAGAAGGATAAAAGGAGGATTACCAAAACAAAAATAAATCACTCAATCTGTTGGTATCGAAGGTGAAAAAACACATAAGCTATTTATGCCTATAATTTTAATATACCAAATTGTAGCCTAATTTATGAAAGATTGGAAACGTTTTTTTTTTAAAAAATCATTTTTAATGCTCAAAAATTTGTTAAAATTTTAGACATTAAAAATGATACAAATGATTGAAAAATGATCAAAACTTTATTGAAATTTTAAGCATTACAAATTGCGTATATATATAATAATACTATAAACATACACAATTTATATATATATATATATATATATATATATATATATATATATATATATATATATATATATATATATATATATATATATATATATATATATATATATATATATATATATATATATATATATATATATATATATATATAATAACAATAGATATACACAATTTATATTGCTCAAAATTTCAATTAAATTTTGAGCATTAAAAATGATTTTATTTTTTTCAAAAAACGTCTTAATAATATGTATGCACAATTCTGTCGTCATAAACATAATCAGTTACTGTTTGAGTTAATGACGGCAGAATTGTTGTAAACAATAATTTTTAAACGCTTTTTTAACAACTCGTCAGCCAAGAAAACCAAGAGGCTTTATGTCCACATTTTGTGTTTTTTCTGTTTGTTATCAATAAATATTAAACGATCAATTGGGTGTCAATAAATCAAGTCACAAGAATAATACAACTTTTAAAAGTATTCAAAAAATTAGTCGGACATTCTGGCTGAACGTTTTTACAAATTAATTTTTAAAACTTGATTTTCTCGACAGGGCCGCCGAGAGCCGTCACGCCGCCTTGGACAGCAACCCTGATTTGTGCCCTTATTAATCAAAATTTCCCTATATTATATATGAAGGAGCTTTCTTTTTTTTTTTAAGGTATCTTCTTTTGGCGCCCCTTGGATATATGCCCCCCGGGACTATCCCTTTCGCACCCCCTTTCTCTCGGCGGCAATGTTTCTCGGAAATACAAATAATGTCCATTAATGTTAATTAAATGTCATTTAAATGATTTTAATTGACATTTGTTTGTTAGGTTAATTAAATGTCATTTAAATGATTTTAATTGACATTTTTTTGTTAGGTTTCTTATATCAAAAGTTGTTTTTTACTAGATATCAGTATTTCATTTGTCAAAACACATCATTAAAAAATCACAACTCATCTTAGTTCTCCAATTTGTATGGTATGATAAAAGATGGGTAGTTATGGAAAATTTTCTCAGGGTAAAAAATCTCAAGGAAAAGTAATAATGGACATTAATGGATCAAAGTGATATCAATTTAAAAAACTGCGGGAGCCATGCGTACGACAATAGAGCCAACATGTCTGATGTGTACAAAAGAGTAGAAATGATTACACTTCAGAAGAATCCTCAAGCTTTTTATATGTTATGCAGCTTTCATAACCTTAACCTTGCAAACAGGCTTGTGGAGCCGCTGTTTTTTGTTGGAGCCGGAGCCGGAGCCGCAAAAATTGAGCGGCTCTCGGCTCTCGTGTTTTTTTTAACGGAATAGAATGTGTTTATTTTTTTACTTTTGACAAACTTTATTAATTTATTGTTAAACTAATTTGTTGGATGAATTATTTATTGAACTTCTATTTTTTAAAAATATTTTTTTCTAACAGTCACGGTTATGCCGAAACTTAATAAAAGTGAATATTTTAACGATTTTGTGCTCAACAAAATATTATCCTTTAATAAAATTTCTTAATACTCTTTAAAAAAAAAAAAACTAAATTATAAATGGAAACATCACAGTGATGCACATATTGCTTTATATTATATTTTTATACTGATACTATGCTGTTTTATATTTAATGCGCGATTTAATAATCAAAGGTTATTGATATCTTTAAAATTAAACTAAAGCATGCGATCTTTAATTTGGAACGACAAATTTTGTTTAAAACTTGTCACTAACACATTATTAATCTATTTTTTTTTGCGTAATTACATAAAGTAATTATGGTATTAATAAAAAACATCAACAAACGAATCAAAATGTTTCTCTTAATTAAAATGTCATTGAAACATTCAGAAAGTCCTTCTACATCGTTAATTTCAATTGCTAAGGCATCTGAATCTAGCAAAACTACTGTTTGCATTGTCATAAAACAATACAAGAGCTCTCTATCTATCAAACAAATAAAAGGATCAGTAGCTTTAAGGATAAGAAAACCGCAATTAGTATTCGACGATCATTCACGCAAAACCCCGGCTTATCAAACAGAGTGCGAGCCAAAGAACGTAAAGTTTCAAAGTTTTTTAAAGATCAAAATTTGGCAAGCAATATGCAGCTGTGGTTTAAAATCTCGAGCTTTTGTCACATCGTCAATTATAAACTTAGATGTTTACATCAAAGAATTCTTGCAGGCTAGACTTTTGGAATTTTATTGAAGTCACGATGCCCCTTGTTGGTTCTGGCCTAATCTTGCTTCTTGTCCTTATTCTAAGAAAAGTGACATCAAATTCATACCAAGAAGCTTGAATCCATCAATTTGTACACAATTCCGTCCCATTGAGAAGTTGATGTCGTTAATAAACGTAAATGTTTGCTTTTTTATTTGAAATAATAAAAATATTAAAGTAAAAAGCACTTTTATAATCTTCAAGTTTCTTAGATTAAAATAAATATTTTTTGTAGTTTTTGCATTAGTTAAACTATTTTTCACTTTTTTTGAAATTTTTTAATTTAACGATCGCATGCTTTACCCAGTGGGCATGGGACATACAAAGAGGTTTTTTAAACGTCTTTGGAGTGTTTTCAACGTCTTTTAAACGTTCTTGACGTTTTTTGAACGTTCAAAATACGTGTTTTTTAGGTCCCGTTCCCACTGGATACCCAGTGGGCACGGGACTCAGTGGGGGCATAAGAAAGACGTCCTTTAAACGTCTTTTGAACGTTTGAGATGCCTTTTGAACGTTTTGGATGTCTTTGGGACGTTCAAAAAACGTCTTTTTTAAGTACTGTGTCCCCTGGGTAGAATTAAAACTAAAATTTGAAACAAAAATTTTAGTTTTGGGTAAATAATGTATAGAAAAAAGTGTTTATTTACCCAAAAAAATTTTCTTTTTAAATGTAATATCCTGTAGTAGTAATACAATAACCTTGTAATTATGAGAGTTGGTTAAAAATTAATTGCTGTAATTGGTACAGTTTTGGGTTGACAAATACGATTAAAAAAAAAAAAATTAAAACTTGTAATTTTTGTTTATAAAGTTAAAGAGCCGGTACCGAGCCGGGAACCGAGTCGAAGCCGGGTATTGCTTAGGAGCCGAAGCCGGAGCCGAGCCGTCAAAAAAACAGTCGCCTCCACAAGCCTGTACTGGTATGTCTCTTACTGGTATGTATCAGACCTCACAAATCCAATGGAGCGTTCACATTTATTTTGTGAAACCATTGTTTAAGCGACCTGTGGATAACAAAACAAAATTATAGGTCTATTGTTGCAGCAGTCCTGCCTGGAGCCATTTTTAAAGATTGGTATTACCTCAGCTACTTTAAAAGGGTCAGAGTAGATTCCAGATTTGAATGATTCGTTTATTATTAAACTTAAAAGGTAACTGAGTTCTTAAAATGAAAAAATAAGTATTTTTGAGGGAATACTGTTTGGCCCATTACCTTTTTTTGAATTCATGGCAGATATATAGTCTTTAATATCTTGAGGAGTAACTGAAGTTATATAAAATTAGGTAGGATTGCAGTTTTTAAGATAGTAGCTAAAGCCATTTCTTGGAAGTATTATTTTCGAATCAAGGTTTTCTGCTACTGTATAAAACTACTCATTTAGAGTATTTGAAATTATTTTCTTGTCTGTGATATTTTGGTTAAACTATCTATAACAAGGTGTATCTATAGCATTTGATTTTAAATTAATTGTGCTCTTAATTTCTTTCCAAGTTGCATTTTACATTTTCATTAAAATATTTTGAGTAATTTAGTTTTTTAGAATTGTTAATTTGATTTCTATAAGATTTAAAACACTGAAAGTTTTAAGTTCTGATTTGTACATTTTATAAATTTTTTGTGCTATATTTTTGATTTTAATTACTTAATGATCCCAGCGGTGATCCATGGTTTAGTTAGAGTTTTTGTGTTTTTATTGTAGGCAGTTTGAATAGTGCATAATAACCAAGAACCTTGTTGATAATTTCCAAAAAGTTTGTTGTTGAATTATTGGTATCTTTATTTGCTCCTTCAATAACAGGATCCCGATCTGTAACTTTAAGTTTATCAAGGAATAGTTTGTTGTCAAAATTCCTGAAACATCGACAATATGATTTTAGGTGCGGTTTTTCAATTTTTTTTTGAATGGTGTCGCAATAAACTGTCTAAGGTGATCTAAAGAATATGTTAGATTGCCAGATATAAAGTTGCTTGGTACTGGTACACTCTTTAAATCTTGTTTGTGAATGCACCGTGGACTGTTGTAAAAATGCTTTCGAAATTTGAAACAATCTGTTTGTGCAGTTTGTTTGGAAAAAAAAGGCGAATATTCAAAATCACTATCAAAAGTACAACCATCCATAGCAAATAAAATCAAGGAGTATATTTGGCCTGAGTACAATGAAGAATTTACTGTCTGCTCTGACGTAATTTGTTCAAATTGTAGAAGAAACATCTTTTTGCTGGAGAAAGGATCAAGCACTTATCTGTCAAACTGGATGAGTAAAGTTTCTCAAGTATATAAGTTTATAATTTATTCAAGTTAAATCATTAATACATAAATAATATAAATTTTTAATAAAGTTTATATTTTTGAATTAGGTTGACAGACCAAAAATTAGACGCAGTACTAAACTTAGTGATATTATTCAATCATCGCATGTTAAAACACAAGCTGTAGGACATCTAAAGGATAATATATGCAGTTGTTGCTTTTCTCTCCTTGCAAAAGGTTTATGAATAAAGATTTAATTACTTGATAAGTAAATTAAAAGTTGTCAAATATTCATTTATAAACTTCAATGAAAAAAAAAATTTTCTTTAAGGTTAATAAGTGTATATTAATTTAAGAGCTAATTTTATTATTTAGGAGGTCATAACAACTGTTGTTCTAGTCAGGCTGTTTTGAACCTAATTAATTTGTCAGAAAACCTTGGTCCCACATCATGCGAGCAAGTTGCTTCAAGCATAATTAAAAACAAGATGGAGCGAGAAGGCATTGAGAGAGGCCAGTCTTTTAAAATATCTACAGGTATGTAAGTTTCTATTTTCATTATATAATTGTTGAAAAAAAAACTAATATGTTCATATAGAACTTAAAAGTACATATAAAATGCTCAATAGATATAAGGCTTATTATTAAGCAATTATTTTGATTGCTAACAACTTTTGGAAACATTTGCATTGTAACTTAAGTTAAGGATAAGTTTAAAAAAATATGTTATTTAAATATTGTTTATTTATAAGGTGGGAATCCATTATCTTTAACTGTTGGAACTAAAGACTAGGAAATCTTCAAGAAAATCTTTCAATCAGATATCATTTCAAACTGTGATGGAATTAACTTCTATACTGGAATTGACAAAAAATCAAACAAAAAAATTGATATCTAGTCTGCGTAAGAATCTGGGATCATCTACTGTTGTTGAGAACAATGTAGTTAGCATGATGTCATCATTACAACAAGAAATTGAATCTGAATATAAAATAGAACAAGATAATTTTATTTGGACTAATGAAACTGTCACAAGAGATATAGTATTTATTCATGATACTTCTGAATTTATTCTTAGTATTTTAACGGAAAGAAGCTTGGATTCTCTCTCCAGTATGGTACGTATATCCATTGATGGAGGTCAAGGATTTCTTAAAGTAATTATAAATGTCTTTGATAAGGCCAATAAAAATGAGATGTATATTGACAGTGGAGTTAAGAAGTGTTTTATTCTTGCTATTGTTGAAGATGTTTCTGAAGACAATGGAAATCTGCATAAAATCTTGAGCAGATTAAATCTAGGTGACGTTACGTATTACCTTGCATTTGACTTAAAATGTGCTAACAACATCTTCAGTTTATCTTCTCATTCCGGTAAACATGCCTGCTTGTGGTGTGAAGGTGAATGTTCCCTAGAAAGTGGTACTCCCAGAACGTTAGGTTCTCTTGATCATTGGTACAAGTTATTTGTTGAAAATGGGGCAAAGCGATTGCAGATGAAAGATTTTAAAAATGTGATTAGTCCTCGTCTTGTTTATTTTGATAAAAATCCTGAAGATGAAATTAATCACATAGTTCCACCCCCAGAATTACATCTTCTTATGGGGATTGTAACGATACTTGGTAGACTACTTTTAGATCATTGGCCTTTGTTTACAAATTGGCTCAAAGAACATTATATTTTACTCCGAGGTTATCATGGGATAGGCTTTGATGGCAATAATGCCACAAAACTTCTAGAAAAAGTAGATATTTTAGAAAGAGATGTTTTAGCATCTTAAACTAATTTAATACCTATTGTTCATTGCCTCAGAAAATTTTCAAAGGTTAAAGAGAGCACATTTGGACAAGAATTAGGCAGCAATGATTCTTCAGTTATTGTAGAGTTCAAGATATCATTTTTTGACCTACAGCAGTATGCAAAAATACATTTAAATGCAGAGCTGAATGTTACATGGAAAGTGTTGCTTGCCATATTCTCCCATTTGTGAAATTCAATTCTTGTTCTCTAGGATCATATGCCGAACAGACTGGAGAGGCTGTTCACAGTGCCTTTAAACCAAGTTGGTCTCGATATAAGTGAAGGATTGGGCATACAGATTATGGTAAACGATTAAAATCTGCTACAGCCACTTTTTGCTTAGATAAGTTGTAGATATTATAATATATAAGTAGTTGTGTTAATATTTTTATTGCATTTGTTGTTTTTTTTCCTTCTTATTACTATAAGGGACTATATTTAAATAATTTTAAGTTAAGAATTATAATAGGTTATATTTTATTTTAAAGAGGATGAATAAAGGATATTGATTTTGAAAATTTTTTTTAGGGATTATTATATCCTTTAAGGGGGTAACTATTGCTTTAAGGGGGTAAACAGGGTTAAAAAATTAAGTTTTTTTGGTACTTCTGATCTACTTTAGATTTACCCAATACAAAAAAATAACATATTTAAGCAGCATTTATCTTTATATGAAAAAATTAGAGGTGGGGAGAAGTTAAACCTGGCGGTCTTTATGGCACACAGTGATTATGCTATTATTGATAAACCATATTCTGAACAAAAAAGAAAAAATTGTGCTATGATAAAACCAATAAAAAGTTTAACCTTTTGTTTCAAATAATAAAACTATCATCATCAGAAATTTACAAAAAATCAAATATACTTCAAAATATGTATTAAAAAAATATTCTTTCTACTTCATTTGCTAACGAATGTATACAATTCAGAAGTTATTTAACGAATTTATAGATATTTGTTAAATAGTCAAAACTGATAAATTTCAAGAACTATTAAACTATCCTTAATCCTATATCTACTATAAGTAGATATAGTATTAAGGATATACCTATGCTGCCCAATTGTTCAGCCATTTTCAGGATTAAAGCTCTCTTTCAAGTCTTATTTGAAATTGGGAATTACTGGTGATTGTCTTAATAGGTAAGCAATTTTATATATTGAATTTACAATTACCATTGATATGAACTTTAATGATATTATAAATACATTTTCAAAACAAAACTTACATAAAAAAATTATATATATTTTTTAATGTTTAATGAGTTTAACTTAAAATATATGTTTGTATTGAAAATGTTTTGTTTTTTTAATAATCATCCCATATCAAAGATAGAGTTATTTGTAAAAGAAGGCGCTTAAAGAATTATTGCCCCAGAGCGCCAAAAATATAAATACGTCTCTGGGTCAGTTCTTATATTGTATTTCAGATTCATTTTTATGTACATAAGTGTTCCCCCCTTTATTTGAGTAAGAGTCAGAGTACTTGATAGAATAGCCATATAGATTGATATTAGTTTTAGACAATTGACCATAGATTAAGCGAGATTCAGTTTTAATTCAATTTTCATTTACAACACCGTTAAACTTGGAGGTATCATAGTATCTGCATTTTATTTTATTGTTTTAAAATTTTTTTAAATTCTTGATGGGATTTTTCAGATTTATGACAAATAGCACAAGAAAACTTTATAGCCATATAGGAAGATGGGATCAGAACTCGATAACAGCCATTTATGAGACAATTATTTCAGAGATTGAAGATGAGGGTAGATGATTGGAATTATTAAAAATGTATACTTTTATATATTATTGAGTTTTTATTTTTATTTTATTTATGGAGTTTTATAATTTTATTTTATGGGTTTTATATTTTTGTTATTATTTTACGATTTTGTATTTTTATTTAATGAGTTTTATACTTTATTATTAATTATGTATTTATATTTTAGAGTTTATTGGTTTCTAATATTTGTCTAATAAGCATAACAATTGGGTGGGAAGAAAATCTTATTTAATTAACAGTATTTGATAATAGAGTATAATATACTCTATTACTATATTATAGTATTGATATAAATATAAGTATACTAGTTTTAAAAATAAATAAAATTTATAATATAACTATAAAAATGTATATATATATATATATATATATATATATATATATATATATATATATATATATATATATATATATATATATATATATATATATATATATATATAATACACATATATAATGTGCAAACATATATAAACATATAACAAACATGTATATACATATAATATAGACAATTTATATAATATAGAGTATTATATAAATCAAATTATGGGTATTTAAGTAGAACTAAAAAAGGTTGATAAAGAACTACAAAACTTAAAACTGGAGTAATTTTCAATGAACGGTAGCTTTGACTTTTTGAAGAAAATTATTAGTCGCCTCAAGATTAACTCTTTAACTGATTGAATATGACTTTAGAAAGGAAGAGAACCATTATAATGAGTTTGTTGTGAAACAGTTGAATAAGGAAATAAAATTTTTGAATAAAATAAATAAACAAAGTAATACTGCTTTACGTCAAAACAATGCTTTACGCCAAAGTACAGACTAGCCAGTCTGATTTGAAACAAAATAGCAATGTAAAAAATGTTATTGTAAAATGCAATGTAATCTATCAATGTAGACGACCAGTTAATATTGTAACTCTCTCAGCTTTAAGTAATCTCATTTCAGTGATTCAATTTTAAAATCAAGTCAATCATCCAAAGCAAACACTGCGCTGTTTAAAATACTAAAGGTAAATAAATCAAGAACTACTTAAGATTAGTTCTTTGTTCAAAGAACATGGTAATCTCAAATTTTAATTAAATTAGAGAACCATCTGAAAAAAATATAGTGGATAGTTAAATAATGCTTAAAACTTCAGGAACTTAAAAAATTTTAGAACTTCTAAAATCCATTTTTTCTATAACATATGTTCCAGTATCTATTTCAGAAATCCATATGTTCCTAACATATGTTCAAGTAACTATTAAACATGTAGTAACTATTCCACTGAGACACTGATTGTATTTTTAAAATGATCAAAATTTAGAGTTTTATTTTTGCTAATAATGGTAATAACTGGTCTGAAGTTGCTTAAAAAATTGATTTAGTCAGAAACATTCAAAAAGAGCAAACATGCAAATGTTGTGATGGATGTTTTATGTTTAATTGTGGTGGATGTTTCAACATTCAAAAAAAGCAAACAGATGAATGTTGTGGTTATATTTTAGGAATTTGAAGCTCTTAAATTGTTTTTACAGATCCACTCTTTTGTGTTGACTTTTCTATATTTTGTGCAAGCAAAATGAGTGATGTTACCTACTGTCAGATATAAATATCAAAAATGGCTTTATTGTGATGCATTAACTGCATTTTTAAGTTCATTAATATTATAATATGCATAATAATAAACTATACTCACAATAATTATAATTGTAAATCATGGCCGTAGACAACTTATTTAATTTGGGAAGGGGGGGGGGGTTAGGAAGAGTCCCTACTCTTCCTAGCCCAAATAATACTTCTCTTAACAATAAAAATTTCAGAATTCTGTAGTAATGTCTATACTGTATGTATTACACTAACCTTTTTTTAAATATAATTTCTTGTAGGTTTTTGAAGTAATTTATTACTTAAAAATGTTTTTAATTATAAAAGGTATGTTTTTAATTATAAATGTTCAAATACAATTTTTCGACCTTCACTTCGGCTACAAAAATTAATGGCTATATCTTGATGTTTAGCTCATCAGTTTTTGCTTTTTTCCAAGCAACTTTTAGAGTTTCATACTTTCAAATATGGAATAAAATGATTCTGCTCTTACCATCCAGCGTGAAGGGCAGAGTATTCGAATACCGAGTGTACCAGTAAAAATATTTTTATTTTTTTGAAAAGGCATTCACATTTGGGAGATTTTTTTTATCAACTTTGCAATTTCATGAACAGTGTTCAGAGCATTTTTCATTATGCTGATAGCTTTAAGCGTATCTTGTACTGCTAAGTTCAAAGCGTAACCTTAACAATGGGAGTATAGTGTTTTGGGCTCGAGGTCACTTATTCTCTTTGTAACTCTAGACTTGCAACCTGTCATGACGCTGGCACCATCATAACATTGACTGCGACATTATTAATTGAAAGATTGATAGTTGCAGTAATTCAGCAGAAGTGTTTTCCATACTGTAAAATCTGACAAACACTTCATGCACTTAAAAATCATATCACAAATCACCATTTGCTCATTTGCTTGAATGTCAATCTTTACTTCGGTGAATTGCAACAGTTGAAGATGTGCCTTCTAATTATATATACAATTATGATGAAACAAATGTGACGGACAATCACGGTTCAAAAAAAGTTGTATGTCAAAGAGGTCTAAAGCGTGTTAAGCAAAAAATACAATGTTCTAAGTCCGTAACAAGCATCATGTATTGTGGCAGTACAGATGAAACTTTAATCACACCAATGGTGGTTGGTAAAGCGCAAAACTACTATGTCGAATAGACAACTGGTGGTCCGGCAGGCTGCATTTACGATGCAACAAAGTCTTGTTAGTTTGACAGTAGATGTTTCAAAAGATGGTTCGTAGAAGTTTTCTTGGTACATGTAAAGGATCAGCAAGGCATTAAAGTGGTAATTGGAGACAACCTAGCTTCACAATTTACAAGGTTGTACATTTGTGAAAAAATACAAGTGAAAATGACCAAGTAAAAAGTGACATTGACAATGAAGTAGAAGAGAAACACAAAAATAAACTACATTGACAAGATTAGGGAGGTCCTTAGTCGAATACACCAAGTGAAGATGAAGTTTGTTAAGAAACAACCCTGCAATGACACATTCACTTTCCCACTTGAGGATGAAGTGGATTTCATTCCTAATTCGTACCTGATCGAATTATTGAAAGATCTCTCGTTGAATAATAGAAATCAGATGTCATTCAAGGGAATAACTAGTTCTGTTATGAGATAAGCAGACAGTTATGAGATAAGCAGACATTACAAGAAACTCAATTACATTAATTTTTTTTAACGACTTTTGCACAATAACAGGGAGCTAGTTACAAAATGTTTTGTTCATTTAAATGTTTATTTCATGTTTCTTTAAGTATTTAAGGACTGATGATTTTTTAGAACAACAAAAAGTCTCCAATGCTACCCCAGAGCAAGGGTATTATTGATCAAACATGATAAATAATGAATGACCAATGTTACCCCAAAACCTAGGGTAACATTGGTCACTTTTCAGCGTATAAAAAAAGATATTTGTAAAAAATTTAAAAAATAAATATAGAGGTCTATAACCAAGATCTATAATGTTGTTACCACAAGAGAAGACTTTAAAAAAATTAGTA